TTGAACAAAATTTCTGGGAAAATCTGAAAGAAATCTGTGGGAGAAGTTTCGAATAAAAAGGATTTTCTTCAGACAAGAATTACGATCTCCTAGTTACTTGTCGGAAACTCTCTCACAGCTTCTCTTGCATAGAGAGGTAACGGATCTTTAGACAGATTGAACAGTGTCTGTGCAAAGCTAAATCTCCCATTAAATAAAGACTTAATAGTTTTTAGAAATACTTACTATACAAAGGAATAATCCAATGATATTTACTCTGCCAAAGATTTTTTAGTTTATCAAAAGTGAAATAAAAAGAGGCATAATATTATGTTATCATGATATAAGATTTCACCAGAATATATTATTTACTGTATGGTTGATCTTTTGGTCAACGGTGTTTAATCACTTAAATTAACAAAAACACTCCACTAGTATTGTAATTAATACTACTACTACTACTTTACTTAGTCCAGCTTTTTGGTCTTACGTCATTTATCTGAAGAGATCGTGAGCGTTTATAAATTATTAGAGAAAACAAGAACTGTCCGATGTGCTTGGCCGCCTCTTATTGACAAGTAGTTTACTTCACTGGAGGTCAGACAGACTCAGACATCATTTTAACGTTGACTATTCTGATTGTTAACAGACGCGTGATGATTGGAGATCTGATAGGCACATTTTGTTTTTATCTTTGTTATTATAGTCTTCGTCAAGGGATACAATAATATTTTACTTCTCTTCTTGTATAATTCCATAGGATACAAATTTTCTAAATATATTTTTCTTATCTTATAGTACTACTTATCTTTTTTTTCTTTTTCTTTTTTTTTTTTTGCTGTCAAGGATGAGAACTAATTGAATGAATATCTCATTGCTTTCCAGATATATTTTAACATATATTTTGTATGCCAATTGTTAAATCACATATATTAACCATTTGTCTGAAATAAATTAAAAGTTGAGATCTCAAAATATTAAATTTAAATTCTAAAATACAGATACTTGCAACGTAAATTAGAAAAAAGGTTGGTTTAAAGGATTAGGTTTGATTGGAATTTTTGGGTTTTTGTTTTATAGTTTAGACCTCGTTAAACATAAGGTCCGAATAATATGTATTTCATATTCGTTGTTGGACTCAAAATGGTCAAAAACCATAAATAACTTCAGTTATTGAATGAATACGAATCTGATAACAGATGAGAGTAAAGAGCCATTTCGCACCGCCCTTTAATCATGGACTTGTTCGTTTTATTTAATGTGGAGGTCCTTCCGTCAAAACCAGACTAACCAGTGAGCTTCACATAAAATCCTCTTTTTTCGAACCATCACGTTGTATGCATTTATTAAATGTCGATTCTAGTTTTTAAAAATCTATCCGATACTAAACACCAATAGTACCAATCATCATGACTCATGGCCTTGTTTTAAAAAGACCCTAAGAAAGAAAAAAATGTGAATTCGGAGTTATTGAGGTTGGTAACAATGGTAAGCTGGACCGCATTGATTGAGGGACATACATTACATACAACTTGTGCCTCAAAGATTTGTTGTACAAACAATTCTTTGTGACCACAAAAAAATAAAAAGTGTTGTTGATGCAGAGAGAAACAGGCTTAATGGGCTTGCACATGTATGGGCCTTTTGTTTCTTTCGTTGGCCTAGTCTCTGGTTTGTTGTTGGAGATCAAACAAACCTTCTGTTGGCGCAAGAGGCTTCTCTCCGATAAAACTATTTGAGTATCCGGTGAAAATCAAAACCCTAAATGACAATGACGACGCCGGAGCTTACAAAGGATTCCGTGGAGGAGATACTGTGTCGCGTTCCGGCGACGAATCTGAAACGGTTACGATGTACTTGCAAACAATGGAACCGATTATTCAAAGATGATGAGAGATTCGCAAGGGAGCACTGTGATAAAGCCGCAAAGGAGGTTCTAGCTCTAATGTTGACAGAGAAGTACAGGATTAGTCCGATGAGCGTCAATCTCAATGGAGATGTTCCTTCTGTAGAGGTAAAAAGTGGGCTTAGCGTACCAGATCCGCATTTTAATAATTCATGTCAATACGATATAGCTGAAGTCTTTCACTCTATGCACCCACGAAGGCAGCCTCCGGTACGGATCACAAATCGTGGTTTGGAACCCGTTTACTGGTCAGACCAGGTGGATCGAATCCGGCAATCGTTGCAAGGAAGGCAAAATATTTGTTCTAGGATACTACTACCAAGACAAGAACAAGTCCTGCAGTAAAAGCTACAAAGTTTTGTGCTTGAGTCCTTTTGGCAATGATACAGAAATCTACGAGTTAAACTCTGATTCGTGGAGGACGATTCCTGATGGTCCAGGCTACTACATTTCAGACTCTGGCCATATGGTGTCTTTGAAGGGAAATACTTACTGGTTTGCTCGTGAGATAGCAAAACCGCATCTCGGCATATCCTTGCTCGGATTTGATTTTCAGACAGAGAAATCATCATCTTTTTGTTTGCCTCTTCCCTATCAGGGTCCACTCTATGAAATTTTGAGTCTTTCCGTCGTTAGAGAAGAGAAACTTTCCGTGTTTATACAACCCGTTTATACATCCAAGACTGAGATATGGGTGACGAGTAAGATTGATAACACCACCACCAAAGGAGCAGTTTCTTGGACCAAGGTCTTATCATTGGAAAAGAAAAGAAAAATTACGGATCTTCAAATCAAGGACCCTGATCTTCAAATTACGGATCAGGAAAAGAAAATCGTCCTGTGTTGCGAGAGATGGATGGTCATGGAAGACGAGACCAAGTCCTTCGACAAGATATTCATTCTCGGGGAGGATAATAAAGTCATTGAAGTGAGTTTTGGTGTGGGTATAACTGAAGGATGTTGGCCAGCTATTCTTAATTATGTTCCAAGTTTGGCTCGAGTTGAGCCAGCTGGGGGCAAAAGAAAAAGAGGTGACTAAACAACCTCTACATGTAACATTTGTTTCTGTGTTTTTTCTTAATTTATATTGGTCATATTCTTTGAATAATCCTCTTATCGAGCGAGCTGAAGAGGTGACTAAAATAAGCCCTACTTCATGTAATCTTTTTTGTTTTCTTTCTTTTCTATGTTTCTCTTAATTTATCTCTTTGAATAATCATGAATATAGTAGACTGAACTCAATATACCACTTGTTTTTCTCTTTCATTACTCTGTTTAGCTTCCGCTTTTGATAATTCGAGGTCAAGACGATCAGTTTGTTTCTCTGCTATGCATTTTCCTTCCCCATTTTCACCAGTTTCCTCGAGAGCAAACTGCATAAAGAGGGATTTCAATTTTCACCATTTTCTCCTGCCACTCATGAAGAAACAGAGATACTTCTTTGAAGATACTTTCAATTCAAATACTAATCCTAACCAAGATAAGCAATAGAAATTGAAAACTATACATATATTGTTTACCTCTCAAGTCCATATTGTAAATACTTGTCATAAACAGAGAACTGAAGCCGACCACCCGTTGATGAAGAAAGCATTTCAAACAGATTTTCACATATGATCACATCAGCTATAATAGGAACTGCTGGTGCGATCCGTGAGAAGGCTTCTAAACTCACTGAGATGATAAAGAAAAGATTCGTATAAGGATTGCAGAAGAAATGAGAAAAAGGAGCCTTACGCTGAGTAAAGCCTGGCTAGCAACAGCTGGGACTTCCCAGACAACCATCATGTCAAATGTTAAGCGCCGAAACTTTTTATCGGCTAGATGACCTGTTACTCCCACAGACAGTGAAAGAGAGCCCTGAAACAACAACTATTCTTAATTATGTTCCAAGTTTGGTTCAAATCGAGAGCGCTGGATGCAAAAGGAAAAGAGGTGACTTAAACAAGCTCTACTACACGTAATTCTTCATTGATATTGGCCAACTAGTCTTTTTTATGTTTTCTGTGTTTTTTCCTTCATTTATATTGGTCATGTTCTTTGTAAAGCTAATTACAGTAAAACTTCTATAAATTAATAATATTGGGACCAAAAATTTTTATTAATTTAGAGAAGTATTAATTTATCGATAAATTAATAATTATTAATTTATATAGAGATTTTAATAATTTTGTAATTTCTTAAAAAAATTTCTATCTAAATTTTTTTTCTTTATAAAGCAATATCTTTTTAAAACCAATTACAAGTAGAAAAACAGTTATTAAGTTTAAAAGATAATACAAATTTTTTTCCGAATAATAGAGTCATATTTTACATATAATATTTTAAATATATATCATAGTAATTCATATATAACATATATAATATTAATTAATATATAACATATATAAATTTATATAATGTGTGTATATATATATATTGATAAGTTAATACAATTATTAATTTATGATATAGATGGGACCATATGTTTACATGAGATTTTAAAAAAAATTATTATCTTATTAATTTATCGATTTATGTCATATTTTACACTGGTCCCAACTCGGGACCGGAAGAATTTATTAATTTAGAGAGGTTATTAATTTATAGAGGTTTTACTGTATATTGATCAGGTCCCTTGGACTTCATTTATACTTTCATTTAAAGCTAATTATATTGATCAGGTCCCTTTCCTTCATTTATATAACTGTTTAATTCATTCTCTTGTTCGTTTGTTAGGAAAGTCCGAACTCATCTCTTTCCTTGCGAAGGAGGAGTTGCACTCACGAGCTGTGATCAGGTCCCTTGGACTCCATATCCCTGAAGTTGCGTTGTTGCTTCAGGATTACCTTCATGATGATGCGCGGCCTGCAGCTCATGGATGATTCATCTGATGAATGGTGGGAGTTCTTTCTATCTTTTTGTCTTCCCATAGACTCCTACGAAAGAACATGAGAAAGTTAAAAGATAATCCTGAAGGTAATCCTGAAGCAACGACACACCTTCAGGGATATCAAGTCCAAGGGACCTGATCATAGCTCGTGCGAGATGAGTTCAGACTTTCCTAACAAACGAACAAGAGAATGAATCAAACAGTTATAGACAGACAGTCAAAGCCATCTAAGAGAAAAACAAAGAAAACAATATGTAAGTGACGAGGATTTGGTCTGAACCAACAACAGGACCGAAATGGTGAAGACTAGAAAACATCAGCGAATAAGAAACTCTACATTTCAGCAAACTTCAGCAAATAGAAATATATATTAAGTTTTATATATATATATATATATATATTGATAAGTTTATACAATTATTAATTTATGATATAGATGAGACTATTTGTTTACATGGGATTTTCAAAAAAATTATTATCTTATTAATTTATCGATTTATGTCATATTTTACACTGGTCCCAACTTGGGACCAGAAGAATTTATTAATTTAGAGAGATTATTAATTTATCTATACTATTAATTGGAAATCACTCAAAACTAACAAACCTTATTTTGGTAGATTAATTACAATGAATGCCATTAGAATATTTTCCTGTTTTTCTATCCAAAACTCAAACAAACTAAATTTACTGTTATGATTTAATAAGGTTTCCATAACAATCGACAATAATAAATTCGAAATAATAAAAAATGGAAAATACAACTGTTTACGATTAAATAAAATCTTAACTTAGTTTTCGAAATCATATCACAACGGTTATTATACTTGTCAAATATAACTCTAATTATAGATTCTTTTTTTTAAAAAATCAAACATATAACTCGAATCTATATTTAATACTTTGATTCGCAAACATGTTGTTAAGATTATAATAGTGTGTAAACCCTAAATATTGAAACCGACTTTTTGTATTCTATAAATATAGAAGTCAATTATTCCGTACTACTCACTAATTATACGTGTTTCCTAAAGGTACTTCAATGCAACACATGGTGCTATTTCTTGAATCTTCTTCTTCTTTAATAGCAATGTGTTGTTCATGTGTGAATCTGTTGGTTGTTTTATATAAAAACAATCGATTGTTTTGAATTAAATACAAAGATAAATCTAAACATATACAAAAATAATTTGGAGACAAAAAAAACCTTTTGTTTTTCAATTTGACAGGTAAACACCTTTCATACTGCGATACGTTTTCTACAAGTTACAGATCTTGGCCATCTAATGCAAGGAAAATTGATATCGTGTGATTTGGATTTTATGTGTTTAGTTCTCGGTTTGTGTTGTATTATTGTATTGTTTTTTGTTCTAACATATACATAAATACGACAAATAAACTAATTCACAAGATTGAAACAAATCATTGATCTTACAAAGCTAGACGGAGTGAATGCATACTTTTTTCCAACAAAAATGACACAAATACATGAGTAGACTATATTTCTAAAGAAAAAACTCATTGAAGTAGGAAAAGTTGTAGAAAAGTATCCATAGCAAAGTAAGTGTTATAAATGTTATGGTAAAAAATGAATTAAGACGAGTAGAAAGAGAAGTTGTTTAAGTTGTAGACAGGTAAATGAAGTTCTAACGCTTGCAGTAGAACTCGAATATGAAGTTTTGATTCTCGAGTGTCCCTCATGGCTGCAAATCAACATTCCATATTTGTACTATCAAAAGTTATACGCTCGATTGTGTGGATGTTTAAGGCAATTCGGAACGAAATTCTACGGAGCGAGAATTTCAAAAATAGAAAAACATGATTATTTATGTCCTATTTAAATTTTAGGACGGGATCGAGATTGAACGGGATGGGATGAGAATTTTTAAAAAAATGACGTATAACATATTACAATTAAAATAAAACATTGCTTGCAATCGTATATTTAAATGTTTCTTTCAATTTGTCTAGCATAGCATGTGCCAAATAAAAGATTTTGGGACGGGTAAAGTTTATTTTGTGATGGAAATTTTGGGAAATTTGAGTATTTTCGAAAACATAATAGTGAAATATTGAGAAAATAAAGAAAATATGGATAACTTCCACTAATTATGTAAAAATTAAATACCTAAACGAAAATACATAAAATATGGGTATTTCATCCGAATCCTAGACCTACACGATATACAGTCACAAACGAGTACATTAACGCTTATGTGATTAAATGTGTGTGGTAGATATATGACCATAAGAATGTTTTGTCTCAAAATTGATATGTCTTTTCTCTTTCTCATTTTAATTATGTAATTGTCTTTACTGTAACCAAAAACAAATCCGATTAATTATTTTGTCTAAACCAAACTAAAACTAAACCGAATACCAAAATGATATGAGGTAGGATAATGAATGTTATACCAAATAAATACATCTACAAACATAACTCCGCACGAACGTGCGGGTCCGAATCTAGTAGAGTATTAATTTATAGAAGTTTTACTGTATTTATTATTATACAGTAGCAGATTTGAATTTGATGATGAATAAACCTTGAAAAAATAAGGTCTCTATCGGATTAAACCATCTCAAATGTTCACAAACTTCTCATTGGATCATGATTTTACTAATACAACAACAAATGTGTCTGACTCAGTGAGTTCCAATAACAGTCTTAAAACATGGACATATCCGGAGGAGCTCCATACATTACATACTCTTCCACGAATACGGTATCAGCCATTTCCCACCTTCTTCCCCTGCATAGAAAGAAAATTTATAGTAAGTTTCAAGGGATCACTCTAGAGTCACACTGCAGCATGCAGCTGAACTGCCGTCTGGGAAAAATACTTGAGCCTATTTCT